ATATATCATACGGGGCTGGGGATTTATCTCAGTGGTTCCACCACCTGCCTCGCAAGCGCAAGGTTCCGAGTTCAATCCCTGGTACCCCCCTCCCCCAAAAAGTCATTCATAATGTATAAAAGAAGCCGGATGTGGTAGGGCACACCTGTAATCACTGTATTCGGGAGGCTGGACCAGGAAGATCACTGTGAGTTCAAGGCCAGCTTGAAGTGGGGTGGGAAGGATGAATAAAAGAGAAAAGAAGGGCTTCCTTGTTTGAAGTACAAATTTGGAGCCCAAACTGCCACCCCTTCCACCACATTCCATCAGCAGAAGGAATTTATATTATTTCACTGTGCATCCTTGACAGCATTCACAGCCCATTCCAGATTCATTTCTTTCCCTCCTTCTAACCTCCTCCTCCTCGTCCTCCTCCTCCTCCTTTTCCTCTTCCTCCTCTTCTTCTTCTCCTTCTCCTGCTGTGCTGGGGCTCAAACACTGTCTCATGCATGCTGAGCATGTGCTCTACCACTGAGCGACACCCTCAATCCTAGAACAAACATTTTTTAAGTAGCTATGTGGAGACACTTTTTTGAAGTTTTGCTTTGACAGTTTTCTCACTTTCTGCTGTGATTAATTGAGGTGATCATATGGGCTTTTCCCTCACTTCATGCTATTAATATGGTATATATACAACGATTGATTTTGTAAGATGAACCATCCTTGCCTTCCAGGAATAAATCCCACTTGATCTTGATATATAATCTATCACGATGCTTCTGGAGTTAGAATTGCTAATATCCTGGTGAAGATATTTGTACCAATATTCATATAGGATATTGATCTATAGTTTTCTTTTGTTGTACTATCTTTGATATCAGTGTAATGCTGACCTCTTACTCTGTAGGAAATATATACAATAAAACCTTGGGCTGTGAGTAACTTGACCTGCAAGTGTTCCACAAGACGAGTAAATATTTCTAATAAATTTTAACTTGATGAATGAGCGATGTCTTGTAATACCAGTAGTATGTGATGCTGAACATCACATGATCACAACTGAGCCTATGGTTCTTCTTTCTTTCTCCCTGTAGGATTGTGGGTGATCATCTCCTGGAAGCAAGAAGTCATGGAGGAGAACTCTTCTGCAGGATAGGAGGAGAAAAAGGTGGAGGAATCCCTCACTTCAAATGAGATTAGATTAAAACGTGGGAAACATTTTTGAATGATATTAAAATGTGGGAAACAGTGCATAATTTTGTAGAAAAAGAGAATCTGTTTAAAAACAATGGAATGTCATATTTCTGTGAAATCCTCAAAAGGAGGCAGAAGCAAGTGTCATTGGATACATTCTTTATTAAAGTTGCATAAAAAGAAACCATTCCATTAAGCCAATAGGTAGCAGTGATTTCATTAGTGATAGTGAAAGTCCTCCTACACAATAACCCTCCTCTCTCTTATCTCTCTCACAACAGCCACAAAGGTTTTCAAAGATAAATGCAGATTTATTTTTGTTTGTATTTTGTATTTTACTTATTATTTTGTATTATGTTACAGAATGTTTTTTGGGTTTTTTTTTGGTACCAGGGATTGAACTCAGGACCTTGTGCTTTTGAGGCAGGCAGCAAAACCACTGAGCTAAATCCCCAGCCCTGTATTATGTTACAATATT